TGCAAGCAGACTACAACTCAGGGCCAAAAGGTGCAACTTGATCATGCCTTTCAGAACGTACGGTCTAAGAACGCACGATTTCAGTACGTACGAAAGTTACGTCAGAACGTCCGTGCCGATGCAACTAAGGCTAGGAGTTCAAGCCCTGCGCACAAGTCGGTTTTGACAGCTTAAGGATGGGATCTGCGGCTTGGGGAAGTTGGGGCTGTAGGTGTGCAGGACAGGACTTTTGAGATCAAAGTGCAGTGCTTTCCTGGGATCTCCAGGTGTTCAAGCTCAAAACTTGCATCCTTTGGGATCTCAGGGCCTGGGACGTTAGGTTTGGGATGGAGGTTTCGTAGAATAAGGTCACCTGAAACAAACTCCGAAACAGGAGGATCCCACTATTTGGCCCCCCCAGCCACGGACCTCTCATTCCAAGCAGCCCCAATTCTGGTTTCGAGATTAGCTGCTGAGGTTCACCCTCAGCTCCGCCATCAATACCCATAAGCTCCATAGTAGTTCCTTTTCGTGGTTTATATTTAGGATCCTCGCGGGGTAATCCCAAGAAGAAACCACTATAGACTATGGAGCCTATGGGTACTTCCCAGAAAAAGGCCAGGTGCTACAATCTAGGCGCTCGACATTCCTGCAACTCAAGCAAAACAGCTGCTCCAAATCCACAAATACATGTCAACCCTATATTATCAACCTTATAGACCCCTGATATAGTACTATATAAGATTCTCACACAGCTGAGACGCGCCTGGGAGCTGACCCATAATCTAGGGACCATAATAAGTAGAATAGGATCTTGGGGTATAATTTCCTATAATTTGTTATAATAAGCCCCCTATAGTACTCCCCAAACCCTATTCACCTATTCCCAATTCCCAGCCTCGCGTGCCGCCTTCATGTCGGAGACGCACTTCTCCGCCTCGTTTGTGGCTTACCGTTTGGGTAAACCCTAACCTTTACAAACCCTAAACACAAAGTTGTTCATAGGAGTTGGGGCTGTAGTTTATGAGCTTGGCTTTCGGCTTTTTGAAGGCCTATGAGGCTTGCAGGGATAATCTTATGTCTAGTGGGCTAAGTGCGAGACTACCACAAATCCGGAATGCAAATGCTCGCCACCTCGGAAGCCCAATTTTCCCAGTGGCGGCTGCGTGCTTTGACGTGCTGTGCTCGTGACCACTTGGCGTTCGATAGGAGCCGCCGAACATGCTTGCGGCCATGCGCAGCATCAAACGGAGTCTTCCCGAGACTGTCACGCATGCTCGGGCGGGCCCCTGCCTGCAGGAGCAAGCGCACCACCCTCACATGGCCGCGACCGCATGCAAACCACAAGGGGGTTCGTCCAGATTTGTCTGGGGAGTCTACGACGGCTCCGGCTTCCACCAAAGCTGTCGCCGCATCCAAAGAAGCATTTGGGTTGAGGCTCTCAGTCGCCAGGAGGAGCGGCGTCGCCCCGGCATCGGTTTGTGCCTCGGTGTTCGCCCTGGACTCGAGGAGAACACTCATGACGTCGGAGTGTGGGACTAGAGCTGATAAGCACAAGGGCGTCCCCAGTACACCGGTTCTTTCGATGCAAGCCCCGGCTGTCAAGAGGCATTGCACCTTGCTTGCAGAGGTGTCTTACGGGATTTAGCCCCAATGCATGAAAACTCGGCTATTGGAATCCGGATTGAATCGGTTGTCTACATAATTTACCTATTCCGCAGAGAAGGCACTGCCGCCAGCTGATGTTGGAGCACGGCCTGGCAGAGTGGCGTCCAAGGCGGCTGCTCAGAGCCATTGCCGTTCGGATCTGCTTGGGCTTCTAATAGCAGGTGCATGATCTCAATCGTAGTGTTTCTGGCTCCTCTTAGGAGCAAGTGTCCTGCATTTGGATCCAAAGGCACCTGGAGGAGCCTCTCAACCTCTTCCACACGACCTTTCAAGATGGCATCGCGGATTTCCGCTTGAAGATCGCAGGTGCCAACGAAGCCCAACATCACCAGCTGCAGGTCACGGTCGGTGGGAAAGTCCACAGACTCGTCATCTTCCATATTTCTGCCATCCAGCAGAAGCCTCTGACGAAAGCGTGGCAGCCCACAGTAGCCTTGCAGCTGCTTCTTCAAAGCCCTCACAGTCTTCAGCTCCTTACCCGAGATGGCGACCAGCTCTTCGCCGGAAGCTTTCCAGACACGAAGCATTCGGAGTGACACCAGAAAGACTCCCGCGAACTGAAAACCAAAAAGCAGACGGTTCAACCTTCGAACTCACAGCACCTCTGCTGCTCCTACTGCCCATATGCTCCTGAACTGGCGAAGTAGCAACCTTGAGCCGTAAACCTTCAACCCTAAAACAACACCGAATCCCGCCGAACAGTGTCCATGAGGGAACCCTGGACCCTAAACCCTAAATCCCGAAACACTAAACCCCAAATCCGAAGTCCTATAAAGCAAGAGCCGGCAGATCTGTAGCTCCTTGAAGGGTCCTTTACATGTTTCCTTTCAGGGCTTGTTTTGCTTGTTTTGGGGGATACGCGAATAAAAAATCTATAAGAGGAACCCTTGTGAAGTGGCATTGGTGTTAGACTTCCACATTGCCTGCAGTAACTGCAGTAGCAATCGCTTCGAGCCGATGGTTCATGGCGCAGGCAACGAGTCGCAGGAATGAAGACGGTCCCACCTACGGACCTATTGTCTCCATTGTAGTTCCTTGAATGAGCATGGGGCACACCCATAGGCTCCATAGTAGTTCCTTTTTGGGACTACCTTATGGGATCCTAAATACAAACCACGAAATGGAGCTACTATGGAGCCTCCAGGTAGACAGGAGTTGTGGAAGCCAAACGCTGTAGTCCTGAAGCCATAGCTCTGAGACTACAAAGCCTAGAATCCCTAACCGTCATATCGAGACCCCCAAAATCCAGTTGAGGGCCCCCCCGGATCCTAAGCCAACTTGAAACACTACAGATCCTTAAGCGCATCCGGATGCTGAGGTGCGACCTATCGCTATCTTTACACCAGCAGTCTGAACTACTGTTTCTAACCCTGCCACAACGACGACTGCTACGAGAACACCCAACACGCCGGGTGTGTCCGGACAAAAGGCTCCACACTTGGGAAGCACCATTTCTCATGGGCGGCTGCTTGCTTTGACGTGCGGTGCCCGTGACCACTTGGCGTTCGATAGGAGCCGCCGAACATGCTTGCGGCCACGCGCAGCATCAAACGGAGTCTTTCCGAACATGTCACGCATGCTAGGGCGAGCCCCTGCCTTCAGGAGCAAGCAAACCACCTTCATGTGGCCGCGACGGGATGCTATCCACAGCGGGGTTCGTCCCAATTGGTCCCGGGAGTCTACGATGGCTCCAGCTTCCACTAAGATGCTCGCAACCTTTAGGGACACCTTTGGCCTAAGGCCCTCCGTCACAACGAGGAGCGGAGTCGCGCCAGCCTTGGTTTGGGCTTCGATGCTTGCCCTGGCCTCGAGGAGAAAACGAAGCACTTCCGAATCTCCGGCGAGCGCCGCTAAGCACAAGGGCGTCCCCAAAAGACCGGATTTTTCGAGGCAGGCTCCTGCTTTCAAGAGGCATCGCACCTTGCTTGTTTGTGGATTTTGGGCTGAAGTCCCTCTGAGACAACAAGTGCGCTTTAGTTTATAGGGGGTTTCCCGTCTTCGAAAAGCTTCAAAAAGGGTGCTGACTCAACATGCAAGACACTGTCTCCAGCTCATGTTGCAGTGCGGCCTGACACAAAGGAGGCCAGTGTTCATCAGTTGCAGTGCCGTTCGGATCAGCTTCGGCTTCTAAAAGCAGTTGCATGATCTCAACGTTTCTCGTGCTGTTGGAAAGAAAACGTCCGGCATTTGGATCCAGGGGTAGCTGGAGACACTTCTCAACCTCTGGCACACAATCTTCCGAAATAGCAGCCTCCATATCATCAACTTGCTCTTCGGAGGTGCCAACAAAGCCCAACATCACAAGCTGCAGGTCGCGATCGGTGGGAAAGTCCACGGACTCGTCATCTTCCATATTTCTGCCATCCAGCAGAAGCCTCTGACGAAAGCGTGGCAGCCCACAGTAGCCTTGCAGCTGCTTCTTTAAAACCCTCACAGTCTTCAGCTCCTTACCCGAGATGGCGACCAGCTCTTCGCCGGAAGCTTTCCAGACACGAAGCATTCGGAGCGACACCGGAAATGAAATACTATAGTTCTCACAAGCCCGAGAGCAAGAAGTGCAAACCCTTGCGCTCCATGAAGCTTGAACCTTTAATTTACATGCAACCTTCCCTGCACTTACACCGTTCAACACCTGCCCCAAACCGCCGTCCTCGAAGCGGAAGCGTGGATGGCTGCGGCAACCGTTCTTACACGGTGGTTTAACCTTGATCGTCATGGCAATGATGATAGCGGTGGCGATGACGACCAGAGCACTATTGCATCAGAACAGACCGGACCGCCGGAGGACTTAAATTAAACGCTAAGCACCAACATTCTGTACACACCAGCCTTTGCAAGAGACTTTCGCTAAGAACCATCCTGACTGTAAAAAAGCACCCGAGCCGTACAGCAAGCCGCACTACCGAAGTGTGCCCGAACACCCTAAGCCCAAAACCCTTAAATCCCTAAACCCCTAAACCCTACACCCACAAACCCCAAACCCTAACCCCTAAACCCTGTGGCTGCAGGCCTCGCTGTTGCAGCGCCCGGCCTTTTCCTCGGTGATCTGCCAAGCCTCTCCAATGATTTCGGGAAAGCACGAATACTGTTGTACAGGCATAGGGCACTCCTAAAAAAATCAAAGGGTACTTCTTTGGACCCTAAGGGGAGATCGCAACATTGGGTTTACTGGGCAGAGCTTTCAAGTTGGAGCCTCCCTCGAAACCCGACACCCTTCAGCCCCATAATCCCATCACAATGGTTTGTAATTTGTTATGGAATTGTTCTGGTGTAGCACCTTAGGACCTGGAGGCTGTGTGGTTTTGTGCTAGGTAGTCTGGAGCTTCGAGTTTGTTGTGGTCAAGCCTTCCGGGTTGCCAGGCTCGGGGCTTTCATGAAGTCTTCTTTTCGGATGCAGAACGTTTCGGCTGCGGTGTTTGTGTGTGTATATTACACATATATATATATATATTTATATATATATATATCTGCATGCTTGGATGCATGGATGGATGGATGGATGGATGGATGTAGGCATGTATGTACGTACGTATGTATGGGCTTCAGAATATCTAACATACCCTAAACGCCCTAAAATCCTTAAAATCCCTAAACCCTAAACCGTATGAACCCTATACGCCCCGTTCTGTCCTCACGAGCTGTGTTCAACTCGTCCTGTGCCCTGGTATGAGCATCCTCCACGATTTGCCTCGGTGGGTTTAGTGTTTAGGGTCTATAGAGGGTTTAGGGGTTTAGGGTTAGGGTTTAGGGTTTAGGTTTTGCCCGGACCCCAAGAGCATGCAGAATAATCGACCTTTGTGGGTGTTGTGCCATCATTTTAACTGCTTTTCGGGTTTGTAGGCAGATCGATGAGATTTGTTGGTGGGTCTCACCGGCCCGACACCGCATGGACCGCATTTAACCCCTATAGACCCTTTGCCCGAAACCCGGGAACCGCTCTCAAGTTCGCAATGCTTCGGGACGCTACGGGCCTCCAGCTACATGTCGTGTCCGATGCATCGTTGGGAGCTTCGAGGCTGAGGCTGGGGTACTACAAGGGTTATTCTAGGGTTTGCTACAAAAGTACTACAATGGCTTGGGGGTTTGAGGCATGGGCTTAGGGTTTAGGGGCGGCTGGGTTCGCAACTTGCGCCCGGTTTGGTTTAACAAGTTGCTGGGTACAGCGTTTAAAGACTCATTGGGTACACCTTCACGCTCTGGCGCTCGGTTGTCCAAGGCCGAAAGCATGAAAAAGGTGACCTCCTTCACAAAGAGGGAAAACCCTAAACCCTGTGAGCCCTAAAACCTGAAACCCTATAAGCCCTACAACCCTAAATCCTACAAGCCCTAAGACCCTAAATCCTACAGGCCCTTAAACCCTAAATCCAATAAATCCTAAACCCTATAAATCTATAAACCCTCTAAGCCCTATATACCTATAAACGCTAGATAAACCCTAAAACCCCCAAACACCCTATAAACCCTATAACCCTGGGAATCCGGTGTATGGTTTATGAGTTTCAGGTCAAGGCGCGAAGTTCATGGGGACTCAACTATTTAGGGTTTAGGCTTTATAGGGTTAAAGGTTTAGAGTTTAGGGGTCTTTACTCAATCTCCCCTCACATCCGGTACAAGGAACCGCTGACATGGTAGTGAGGCCCTTACTAGTAGCTCAAGAGGACCTGGGAAGCACGACAAGTCTAGCGCTTGGTGTTCAGGTTGTTGCGCCCTTCCTCTACCCTAATCCATGAAGCCGTCCTTGGTGATCTCTGTGGGGAGTGACGACATGTCAGGTGTTCATCTTATCACTCATATCCGAAAGGAAGCCTCTGCAAAGGGTCTGTGGCCTTGCGTGGATGCTTGCGTTGTTTCAATATCTCATTAACCAAGCGCATACATATTTCCCGACAGAGCTGCTCCCGGACGTAAAGGAGCTCGTTGCGGAGGTGGTCGAAGCGGTATTGTGCCAAGAGCTCCTGTCAGGAATCTCTTGAACCAGACTTCTCTAGGGCCCCGAAAAAAGCCATAAGCAAAACTTAGGATAGGCTTAAAGACTTATCCATATATCCCATATAAGAGCGCCTGGTAATGAAGCTCGATTCGTTAGAGAGATGTTGCAGATTTCAAACACAAAAGCATCCAGGAGCCCCTTTAAACATGATGAGGCGTAACATTCTATGCCACACCTCGAGGCCGGTGTGGTACTGGCTTAGGCCCAGGCTCTAAGGGTTTAGGTTTTTAGGAGGTATTAGGGTTTAGGGTTTAGGGGTTTAGGGTCTAGGGTTTAGGTTTTAGGAGGTATATGTAGGGGTTTAGGGTTTAGGGTATAGACTCAAGGTCGATAACCCTGCCCGATCCCGATGCCGACAGTAAACCCTGAGGCACAGCCGCATATACTATAAGCCCTACACCCGAAAGTGAGGGTCCAAAAAACATCATCATAAGCACACTCTCATTCTGCTAGACTTAGGTCGCAACTGAACTTAACTTAACCTTAACTTAACTTAACACATAAATTTAAAGCTTAGAAACCACACCCGAAGCCTAGTTTTGAGTAACAAGAGTCCGTGTCAGCAATCATATAGCATACCCCAAAACCCTAGTCTAGCTTTTTCTTCTAATTCTAGACGGCCCCTCTAGTGAAAGAGGGTCCGGGATCCGCCGAAACCTGAACCCCAAGCCTCAACCCCTGAGCCTCCAAGCCCCAAGCCACAATCCCTAAAAGCTGCTGAACGGTTTACCCATAGGCCCCAAAGTAGTTCCTTTTATGGTTTACGTTTAGAATCCTATAAAGTAACCCTCAAAAAGGAACTACTTAGGGGCCTATGGGTAAGCAACTGCTAAAAGAACGGAGCCCAAGCGAGCAGAAGTTCTAGCAACAAAAGCACCACCGCGATGCGAGTTCTTGGCAAGCCCTGGACGGACAGCAGAGAGCAAGCATGCAACAGGCTCCTCGACATTTTGACGCGCAAGCGGTCCAACCTAAACCTGGATCTGGGTGGAAGCGCTCTGGCCTGCAATCTTCTGCGCAGACTCAACTGCCACGAGCTCTTCTGCTGGCACAGCAGCCCCCACTAAACATCGGTGCTTCGTGTGGCTAACCGTCTTCTGCACACCCACCGCTCAGCGTCTGCAAAACGGTTACAACATGATACCATGCAGGTTCACATGGGCGACGAGTTGGATCATGTAAAGTGGGGGTCACGTGCGCTGCACGCTCGAGCGAATCCAGCGACAAGCCAAGAAGGGTCTGGCACAGACATGCCTAGGTGGCGGTGCGCTGACCTCCTTGACCACACATCGCCGGACTCCGTGAATTCGCAAAAACTGCAATCGGGGGATGCTTCGGGCCCCATCTACACTGAATCTACACACATCGTCAGCCAAGGGCCTAGTCCATGTACTCACCCGCCGTGATGGGGACAGAAACTCCGCCGTCCATGCTGTCATCTAAGGGGCCTTCTCGGCTTCTTCCACCACGACGAATAGGCCGCTTCTTCCTGTGGCCCAAGCTGAGGATGCAGGTGGGGCGAGAGAAGACGGCCACGGGCATGTAGGGCTCAAAAGCGATCTTCAGCACCTGACAGGCCTCACGCCGAAGGACGACGCTGCTGAGGCCCACCGGCTCACCCACCTTCAGCTTGCCAGCTTCAAGGTAGAGGCTCTCCTCCGTGTCGTCCTTCGGGTCGGCGACCTGCACCAAGTGGTCCGGAGTCACCCTCAAGGTTGCTGCGGCCGCCTGCAACTCCACAACCTCGCTGGCTTCGCAGATCTCCGGCGTCTTGGCCACCTCAAGGATAGATGCGTCATCTCCAGCCACCACCTGCGAACCTTTCTTGAGGTCTCTTCCCATCAAGAAGAAGTCCGCGCCGTAGCTCCGTGTCTTGAAGATGGCATCAACCATAAAGCAGTGAGGTTTCACAGAGTCCGGCTTCACTGAGAACCAAGAGGAGCGGCTCAAGACCGAAGAGGATGTGTCGTCGTATCCCAGCTGCTCAGCAAGATCGGGCGGCTGGCCGTCGGAGACTTCGTTGCCCGGAGCTTCGCCAAAGGCGTCGTGACCGGAGCTGAGATGATGGGACTCCTTCACCTCAAGAAGTTGCTTCTCCAGCTCACGAGCGCGTTCCTTGTACATGCCGTTCTCTTCCCACAAAACTTGCATCTGACCTAGCATCACCGATCTCTCGGCCTCCGCTTTCGAGAGCTGCTGCCGAAGCTGGTCGCAGCGGTCTTGGAACACCGCCTTCTGGAGCAGCAGCTCCGCCTTGCTCCCCGGCTCGTCTGCCAAAAACCAAGCCTCTGCCTGGTAGCCGCGACTCTCCTTTTGCAGCCGCTGCAGCTCCACCTTCCTTTCTGCAGCATCGGATTCGGCTTGTGAGAGATGCTCCTTCGTAGCTGCATGCTTGGAAGCTTCTGCCTCCAACCGAGCCACGAGCTCCTCACAACGCTCCTGGCACTCGCCATGCTCGCCCTGCAGCTGCCCGAGCTCCTTCCGTATCTCCGCCACGGCTGACTCCGCAG